GGCCGCCCCCCCCCGCGCGGCCCCCGCCGGCGCGCCCTCGCGCCGTGTCGCGCGCCTGGCCCCGCCCCCTGCCGCGCGCCCATCCGGCTGGACCGCCCATAGGCTGCGGCGTTGCGGACTAGCCCAGGGCTCCGCCCTCCCCGCCTGCCTATAGCGTCGCGCTCTCTCTAGGCGAAGGAAGTCACATGGGTTCGGAGAGCTGGAAAGCGCCGCTACCTCTCGGGAGTTGTAGTTTGGCCTTTATTTTCTCGTCCAGATGGGTGTGGGGCCCCATATCCCTAATTAGATGGGGAAACCCCACACACACACACACACACACACACACACACACACACCGGCCAATCGGGAGGTGTCTGGCTTTATTGGGTGAAGTTCACGCCAGGGAAGGATCCTCGACTCACCGGAGTTATAGGTTCAATGAGGGATAAATACACCGTGTTAATCCTGATGATTAGATTTCGGGAAGGTATCGGGCCTCGCAAGGTTACCTGGACACCACTGCCACTTTCATCTTCCCCCTCCCCATCAGCCCCAACCTTAATGGCGAAGTCTCGCGAGGGCGGGGACCAGACCGAGCTTCCAGCTAAGTTTGGGCGGAGCGGAAGACCTGGACAGGAGTCCGAGCTCGCGGTTGATGCAGATCCACCCCTGCTTCGAGCAGCTGCTTCCGCGAGGGGGACAGCGTGCGATTTCACAGCTTCAGTGTTGCCCGACGGGCAAGGTCTGTCCGCCGCTGAAAGTTGAGCATACTGTGCAGGAAAGCCCGTTGTGAGTTCGTGCCATTCACAGCTCCATGACCTCTACATCCCAAAGCACACTATGCAAGGCGGAGGGATAGAGTCATCCAGACCAAGAGGCTGGCAGTGAGGAGGAAGTAACACTGCCTTAAGAACCATTTTTTATCTCAGCTCCTCCTAGTGTGTGTGACTGCTTTCCCCTGTGAGGGCTCAACACATCTCCCTTGGGGTCTTTGGTGTAGGTCGTCATCAGGGACTCTGAGCCTGGCTTGTTTACTTAGGGATTCACAGAGGCAGGAGATGGACAAGGAGTTGGGAGATGCAAGTGCAGCGATGGCTCCTCTATCTCCATCCCCAAACACAGGGCAGGCAGGGCATGCATCCCTAAATGCACATTGCCAGAGGAACCCAGGGCACTGTCTCAGGAGTTTGGGTGCAAGATCGTGGACCCAAATATGCTGCCTCATAGGGTCCACAGCACATCTCACCCGAAAAAGCTACTAGAAGAGGGAGAAGAGCTGCTCTGATAATCTGAGCTACCAGGGAGCCCAAGGAGGCCTCGCCTCAGAAGTCAGAGAATGTCCAGAGCATGTGAAATGTTCATCTTGGATTGGTGCATTCCTCATTGTGGATTGGTGCATTCCTGCCAAGTGCTCTGTATCCATACCTGTGCTGGACCTGGGACCCAGAGATAAATTAGTTTCCCTTCAGGAGTCAGGGAGAGGGGACCAGCAAATCTGTAATTACTGATTAGAGCTGTGCCAGGAGTTTAGAGAAAAGGTCATAACTCTTGTGGCTACAGGGCCCTCAGGGTTGAGTAGGAATTGGAGAATCAGGCAAGAGGCTAGGAAGGTCATTCTCAGGCAAAAAACAGATTTCCAAAGACTTGGAGATAAGAAAGTATTTAGTGCTCTCTTCCGGCTGGAACCATGGAGGGCGTTCAAGAGAAGAAAAAGAAGGTTCCTGCTGCGGCAGAAACCAAGAAAAGGCTCCTGCTGTGCCAAAAACCCTTAAGAAAAAGCGAAGGAATTTTGCAGAGTTGAAGATCAAGCACCTGAGAAAGAAGTTTGCTTAAAAGATGCTTCGAAAGGCAAGAAGGAAGCTTAGCACTATCATAAGGAATATAGACAGATGTACAGAACTGAGATTCGCATGGTCAGGATGGTGAGAAAAGCTGGCAACTTCTATGTACCTGCAGAACCCAAATTGGCATTGGTCATCAGGATCAGAGGTATCAATGGAGTGAGCCCAAAGGTTGGAAAGGTGTTACAGCTTCTTCGTCTTTGCCAGATCTTCAATAGCACCTTTGTTAAACTCAACAAGGCCTCAATTAACATGCTGAGAATTGTGGAACCATATATTGCATGGGGATACCCAAACCTGAAGTCAGTAAATGAACTGATCTACAAACGTGGTTATGGCAAAATCAATAAGAAGCGAATTGCTTTGACAGATAACTCTTTGATTGCGCAATCTCTTGGTAAATTCGGCATCATATGCATGGAGGATCTGATTCATGAAATCTATACTGTTGGAAAACGCTTCAAAGAAGCAAATAACTTCCTTTGGCCCTTCAAATTATCTTCTCCACGGGGTGGAATGAAGAAAAAGACCACCCATTTTGTAGAAGGTGGAGATGCTGGCAACAGGGAAGACCAGA